ACTTGTCCCATAGCCTTGAATGCTATGACATTTCAAGTACTCATCCAAGTACTTTTTAAGTACCATTCCAAGCAGTGCATTCCAGTTTCCCAGCATCCTCTGGATGAAACTAATTTTTCCACAAATCCTCTTTAAATCTCTTGCCTTTCATCTTCAAATTATGCCCCTTCGAATAAGGGGAGCAGCTGGTTTCCATCCCTTCCATGCCCCTCATAATCTTATATATCTCAATCAGGTCCCCTCTTAGTTTTCCTTGCTCTAAAGAAAATAACCTGACCTTATACAGCCTTTCGTCCTTGATAAAATACTCCACCCTAGGCAGTATCCTGGTGAATTTCCTGTGTATTCATTCCAGTGCAATTCTTCCTAGTTATAAAACTGTTCGACTTGTATGCTTAATGTCCTTAGGAGAAAGAAGTACGGAAATGGAAGGAGGAGCTGCTGGAGCAGAGGAGAAAGATGATGGAGGAGAAGCTGCTTCATGCCGAGCTGAAACGGGAGCTTCAACTGCAAGCAATAGTGAAAAAGGCACAGGAGGAAGAAGCTAAGGTGTGGAACTATTGTCAAGACACTAGCTAGATCATCTTGAATCTCTGAACACTGGTTATGTAACAACTGTTGAAGTTGAGGGGAAAATGCTGAAGTTATTGCTTCAAAGCTCTGATATGATTGGGACACAGTTTGACAATATTAATGGTCTTTCTTCTGTTTCTTCTGACTTTACTTGGTGCAATACCCACTGGGAGCCATGTACAAGAAAACTGTTGATTCTCCTGATCTGTTGACCGTACACCTATAGAGAAGTGGTCATTGGATTAGACTGCTGATTTTTCTTTTCACTCCATTGCATATGAAACCAAAGTTAATTGAAACGTAAATATCAGCTTTGCTTTGATGTTATTCTTTAAAGCTTGCTGGGAATGATAAAGGTAAGAGGAATAACAAGAACACACATTTGTACAACACCTTTAACATAATAACTCATCCTAAGGTTCTTCAGAATTGTACATGAATTGAGAGATTATATATTTGCCAAAGTTAACTGACTGGGCAATTAAATTTCAAGTAAGGGAGTTTCAAGGTAGCACCTCAAGCTTGCTTACATTTTGGATAATTTGGAGTCCAGAGTAGACAAGATATTACATTGTGGGCTTGAGGTGTGTTAGACATTGTAATAATTTGAGAGGAAAAGGAAAGATTATAACATCTTGAAATGTTATAATTTTGAGCTATATATGAGCTTGTCTTCTGAACGTTTCCTCTTTTCTTCCCTTTCCTGAACGATCTAGTTTTTTTTTTGGTGTCTTCCTTCGTAGACATCAACAGCCTTCTGCTACCTCATAGAATTAGGCCTTCTTAATGTATGACCCTAATGACTATCTCAGTTGAGCCCAATCATGCCCTCAACTCATGTCTCATGTACAGATCATCACTGTCAGTGATCAAGTGTGGGAGCCTTCAGTTTTTTTTTCTCTCTCATTGGCTTAAGGGTATCTCACACATAGTCTCCAGGTTTCTGCTCAGCTGAGGTCAACTAACAGCACAAGGAATTGAACCTGGGGTCCATTGCTATATACAAGTTTCCTTTGCCCAGGGGCCTTTGGAGACTAAATATGTAAGCTTTTTTTGAATAAACTATATGGGTTATAAATAATATCACATTTTAATGGACGTGGAAACCTGTCTATCTTTTTTGTCCTTTCAGGTTAATGAAATTGCTTTCATCAACACGTTGGAAGCTCAAAATAAGCGTCATGATGTTCTTGCAAAACTGAAAGAGTATGAGCAGCGGCTGAATGAATTGCAGGAAGAACGACATCGTCGGCAAGAGGAGAAGCAAGCGCGGGATGAGGCTGTGCAGGTTAGAAGTAAACAGAGAGAGAAAACTTACATTAGGTCTTCCAAAGAACAGTGCTGCATTTAAAAGACAAGACAATCCTTTGCCTTAATGAGAAGAGTCATTCTTCTAGGTGTAGGTACATTCTGGATATAAACACCCTGTCTAGCACCTTGCTAATGGATTTCTATGCCTACTCTAAGTAATAATTGAAATAGGCATTATTTACTCTACAGATATAATGCCTGTGAATTGCTTTTCTTTTGCACTTCTTCCAGAAGAGCTCTTGCTCCAGTTTGCTGTGGAATCAGGTCAGTTCAGATTTCTGCTTTATTTAAATACTGGCATTAAGCAAAACCACAGTGTACATTACATAATTGCTTTGTAAATGTGGCCTGAACAACTTGATTTTAAAAAAGGACTCGGATTTGCCAGGGATTTAGGAAATGCAACAGGGTCCTAGTCTAAGATTCTAGAAAACATGCTGCTATCTTAATGCATTGGTGAAAAGCATTGACTCTCACTACATTAATGTGGCTTTGTATTCAGGAGCGTTAATAGTTGAGTTCTATCTGCTGTACATTTGTTGTGACTGGCTTGCTGAGAGAATGTTTCATGTGCACTTTATATGATGTGGACAAAAGGAAAGGAGCTGTTGAAATTTGGAAAATAAAAATCCAAAATAATTCTGTTTTACAAAATGTTTACGTTGAACATTATCTCAAAACTTCATAGAGCAATTGATGGTGTAAACTTACAAATTACCATAGATCTAATAAAATTAATTCACTTCCTTTTCTGGGTGGAATAATTCAGTTCTGAGGAAGGGTCACTGGACCCGAAACGTTAACTCTGTTTTCTCCTCCACAGATGCTGCCAGACCTGCTGAGCTTTTCCAGCAACTTTGTTTTTGTTCCTGATTTACAGCATCCGCAGTTCTTTCGGTTTTTATTAGGATAATTCCAGTAGTGTCCTCCTTAAATGAAGATTGAAGAATTCCTTTGTTTGAGATGCTGACAACTGAATGAAACTTTAAACAAAGCATTCCTGCTTTACTGATATTTCAGGTGTAAAACAGTCTTACAAATGGGGAGTAGTGTTTGTCAAATTTATTCGTGTTTTTTGAGGATGTATCTAGTACAGTAGCTAAAGTGAGCCAATAGATGTAGCATGGATTTCCAAAAGGCATTCAGCAAGGTGTTACATAAAAGCTTAATAGGCAAGGTAGAATTCATGAAAATGGGGTTAATATGTTAGTGTAGAGAAAGCATAAATGGGGCATTCTCATGTTAGCAGGTTATGACCAGTGGAGTACTGCACGGATCAGGGCTGGGGACTCAACTATTTACAAAAAATAATGTATCTAATTTTGCTGGCTGTACAAAACTAGGAGAAAATGTAAGTTGCAAGAAGGACACAGGCTTCAAAAAGATATAGAAGGGTTCTAAGACAGCAGCATGGCAGATGGAGTATAATAAGAACATAAGAACCAGAACCAGGAGCAATCCAGGAACCTGCAATGCTATTTAATATGATCATGGCTGATCTCCTTTCAGTCTCAACTCCACTTTCCTTCCCACTTTCCGTAATCCTTCAAACCGTTACTAAGTAAAAAATCTGTCTATATCCTCTTTAGTCTGTCAAAACTGCAAAGGTCATTGTGTTTCAGAGATTGTTTAGCATAAGTAAATAATTTTCAAGTGCAGTAAATGAAGCACATTTAAATTTTTCCTAAAGGATGTGTTTAGCCGTTATGCAAGTGCAAGTGGTCCTTCCTCTTCAATCTCACTTAGGTTAACATCAGCTATCAAGATCTTTCTGTATTTGCAATCCAATAAACATAAATTTCATATGTGAAGTTGCAAAACTGTTTACAATATATGTTACTAGAAACTGGAAAAGATGCAATGCTTTAAGTACTTCTGAACAAAACATTTAAATTGAAACATCAGAGTGAGATTACACTGCCTATAGATCTCCTTTTAATAGTTCAGTTAGTTTAGTCCATGAATAACTGAGCCAACAGTTAACTCTAGTGTCTGTTCCATGTTGAGTTAGCAGGTGGAATGGTGCTGAAGTTAATAGTGTACTGGTTTACAAAATTGGCCACAGTTACTGCTTCTGCTCTTTTTTAAATGACCATCTGGAAAAGTATGAGTATGCACAGGGCTGAGTGTGACTGTAGGTGAATGGATGCTCTCTCGGTTCATGTCCAAATTATATATATTTGGCCTCTTTACCAGAGGGCAGCTGGCATTATGTACCTCAGTTAGAGGTCCATGAGAAACAGTGGAAATTTAGAAAAGTGTTGCATTATTTTTAATCATTCTTGTACTGTAGGAAAGCCTCTTGTTCAAAATAAAAATTATTTGATTGAATGTAGGAACGCAAGAGAGCACTGGAGGCAGAGCGTCAGGCCCGTGTGGAAGAACTAATGTTGAAGAGGAGAGAACAGGAGGCACGGATTGAGCAACAGCGACAAGAAAAAGAGAAAGCAAGGGAAGATGCAGCTCGTGAAAGAGCCAGGTTTGTGGCCTTTGTTAAGTGGTTTTCTGTGCAGCCTTGAGACCAATTGTTGTAGTATTAAGACATATTTACCACAAGGCTACAGCTTAAGTGATCTCATCACTATCTGCATTTGTTCTACTAGAATATTACTGTAAATCTCTAGACCAGAGAAAGAAAATATCACTTATGCTTCCTGGTCTTGGTTACTGTTCAGTACAACTTTTCTGAGAGTGAATTCTAGAGAAGGATTGGAGTTACATATGATGCTGTCTTAAAGGTATCCAAAATTTACTTGTGGTATGTCAGATCCTTGTGACATTTCAGGACGTATACCTTCTCACCTTGTTAAATTATTTACTTTTCTGTCTCTTTCCGCTGTAGGAATTAATTAGAAAAAGTCAAGAATCACTGCAGTTCTTCTGTCTGTCATGCTATTTTTCTTGTGTTCCTTTCCTAATGGTTGTTAATCCATTGGCAGGGAACGAGAGGAGAGGCTGGCTGCACTTAGTGCAGCTCAACAAGAAGCTATGGAAGAACTGCAAAAGAAAATTCAACTGAAGGTATAATATAATAGTTCTAATCCTCTCAAATACTCGTTGAAATGTTTGTATGAGTTGCAGTTCTTTGATTAGCATGCAAAGGCCAACAGTTATTAAGGACTCTTCTAAATTAGGGGCCTGCCAGTAGCAATCCTGAAATTGAGTCCAACTGAATACATGTTACTTTGTGTTATGGTTCCACCTGGTACAGAACTTATCCACTTTATATTTCAGTAGGAAGTATGTAATTTGGCACCTTTCCAAGACCTGCAGTGGAGAGGATACTGATTTAGTCGTTATGATTTTTAATGCGTTTTCTTGTTCTACTTTTAACACTACCACTGAGACTTCCTGACCCTGAATTTCTGTTACTTCAGGTGAATATCTATTCATACATATGTTTGCATTTACCATAGTGTTGCTCGTCCACATTTACAACCTTGAAATAATTGTGTTGGTGAATGAGTACAGCTTAGCTTTGAGAATGATCGTTCACGGAATAATTTTAAAACGTAAAGCATTTCGATCATACATAAAGATGCACAACCACGTTTTTTTCCGTTTGCATTTCATAGATTAGTCCTGTCCCTAGGCTAAAATAAAATTCGAGGTGTTACTTGATGTTTTAGCTAATTCACAGATCACAGACACCTGCTATGCATTGCCTTCAAAGTAAGGGAGAACTACTTAGCTCAAGTCAGCTGTGCAATGCCACAGGAAATAAGGCTGATTGGCATCACGGTTAGCAAAGGAGATCGGCTGCAAGGTATGCAAACTGACCCTGGCCAAGCACACCCATTCTGTATTATATTGCCCAGTCATAAATACTAAAGGTAATTAAAATCAAGGTAATTTTCAAGTATCACTCTATTTGGTTTCAAATAGTTAATAGTTAAAGGTTAGTATATAGAAACTGGCTGTATAGAGTTAGGACTATGCTAATTATACCAACGTCAGTACCAATGACTGATGTAGAGCTGTTGATGATTTTGCTTGTTCAATTTTTTTTATTTTAAGACTAGCATTCAGGCATCCCAGACCATAATTTTTGTTTGATCAGTTAAATCTCGTGAGAGGCTTCCATTTATTGTTTTCTATTTGTTATAAATGTTTGTACGATATTATTATTATTTGAAACCTTAGATTCTAATGTGGAGGAAAAATTGATTTTAGCTTTCAGTTCTTTGAAGATCTAACTTTTTTTGAAAAGTTCTGAAAGTTATTTTGAACATTGAATTCAAAACAGCATTTGCAAGAAGTCATGTGATTTTAGCGAAATGACCAGCAAGCCATTTGGGGAAACTAGTTGCTCAAGTATTTACGGACTTCGGTTTTGCCACATTCAGAAAGGGGGAAGAGGCCAGAAGCATGTTTGTGAGGCTCATAAAGCAGAAGTGCTGTTATTAGCAATTTCCAAACAGTTAGTGCTGGGGAGAGATTTCTTAGAAATCAGCACGCAAAAAGCTCTAGAGGCACGGGTCTGTCAGAAAAGATGTATTCAATAAGGTTGGTGAAAATATGAGTTTAGGAATTCAATGTAAATATTAGGGCACTGAGCTAGCAGTTTGTTATAAGGACCTTGGAGAGAGACATTAAATGAAGAAAGTTGCATCTTTCGAATATCCAGGAATTTGTCGAAAGCAAACTGATTACAGCCTTGCTAATTGAGTAAGAAGCTTTAGCGTGGAGATAGGGGTGACTCTTGACTGAGGTTTAAGTGTCTGTAAGAGTATTGTTGGGGAAAAGGGATGAACCTTTCTTTCTGGGGAGTGTAATAAGATTGTGCCTGTAGTGTGTTTTTCTTTTCTGTAATAAAGTTTTATGTTCTTTTGTCAAAGAACTTGGCAGACTTTTGAGAATACGTTCAGTGACTGACTTCCACTATAAACAAAAAGAAATGTAAAATTAATGATCCATCAAGCCAGGTTTCACTCTTGGATCTGGCTTGTCCAGAATTATCTTCAAATGGGAACATTGAAATTATTGAAGTGAATGTGTTGGTGTCTGATAGAGCAAGGGTGCAGACTAGCTGTATGGAAAATTAAAATCTTGATTTAGCTAGTGTTATCTTTTCTATTAATTAAGGAAACAAGCAAAAGCTAAGATATTTAGTGCAGCACATGAGCAACATTTTTTTAAAAGCAGACGATTGAGGGGAAAAAACACAATGGAGTGTGTTGAAGTTGTTCAAAGTTCAGGGAAATACTGTATGTATTGCTGGAATGTTTTTGCGGGCAAGTTGGAGCAAGGTTGTGCAGAAATCTGAAGTCCAGGATAGCTGGGCAGTGAGGTAGTATGGCATCAATCCTGCATTTGAAGTTTGTGTAGGAGAGTAATGATTGTTTCTCTTGGCATGTATATAAAACTGATGCCACACGTAAATGTTAAATAGGGAGTACAGCCCTGGTAGTGTAGCATGGAAAGGAATTGTTTCAGGAAGAATGGGGATTATGTCAGTTTGAGAACATAGACAAATGCTGCTCAATCCTGCTCCACCATTTGATAAACTTCTGCTTCAACTCCACTCTCCTGCCCTATTACCATGTGCCTTTATTCCCTTGGTGTCAAAAAGATCTATCTATTTCAACTTTGAATGTGCCAATGACTGTGTGCATCTGTAGCCTTCTGGGATACAAAATTCCAAATATTCATGACTGAGTGAAGTGTCTCCTTAATTCAGGCCTAAATGAAGAATTCAATGCTATTCTACTCAATGTTTCCTTATAGCACAGCCCTTACATTCCAACAATCAATGTAGTGAATCTTTGTTGCATCCCCTCTGCGACAAGTAAACCCTTCCTTGCTTTAGGAGACTAAACTGGGCACAGTATTTCGGGTGTCTATCTGGACAGTAGGAGCAGACCCTCATGAGTTTGGTAACACAGAGGCAGAAAGTGGAGAGAAAGGTAGTAATAGGGAGATTGCAGAGGAACGATAGGATGTAGCCGCAGAATGAGGTCATTTGATCTGTAGAACCTGCTGTGCCATTCAGTTAGATCATGGCTGATTTAATAATCCTTAGCTCCACGTTGCTGCCTTTTTCCCATAACCTTTGATTCCCTCACTGGTTAAAAACCTGTCTATCTCAGCCTTCAATATACTTAGTAACCCCAGATTCGACGTCTTTCGGTGTTAAAGTATTCTGCAGCTTCACTATCCTCTGGAGAAAATTTTATCTCCTCATTTCTGTCTTAAATTGACAAGTCCATACTCTGAGATTATGCTGTCTGGTCCTATACTACTGCAAAACTGGGCTGCTATCCTATTAAGTATCCTTGTGTCTGGTACCTTATCAAATACCTTTTGGAAATCCTAATATACTACATCTACCGTTGCCCTTTTATCTATCCTGCTTGATTCCTCCTCAAGAAATTCTCGTGAGTCTGTCAAGCATAATCATCCCTTCTTGAAGCCTTGTTGACTCTGGTTGATTCTATTTTGCTTTTCTGAACGCTCTGCTGCTATATCCTTTACAATGAATTCTAACATTTTCTCAATGATAGATGTTATAGGCAAATTGATTTGTATTTAGAGACAGTAGGAACTGCAGATGTTGGAGAATGAGATAACAAGGTGCAGAGCTGGATGAACACAGCAGGCCAAGCAGCATCAGAGGAGGAGGAAAGCTGA